GCCTTTCCTCGGACCCAGGTAAAGCAGCAGGGAGGTGGTTTGGGCACAGCTTGGGGGAAAAGTTGGTTTTGAGGCTGATTACAAATCCTTGGTTTTTGTCCCTTGGTTTGCCCTGCAGGAACTGCCCCAGAGGAGCTGTGCTTCCTGCAGAGCTCCAGCCCTGCTGCAGCTCTCTGAGCCCACACTCCTGGTCAGCAAGGCACCATCCTGGGATGGGACACATCCCTGGCTACCCCTGAGGTTAAATTCCCTTTGGGAAATTCAGCCAGATGAAACTCCAGAGCTCAAGTTTAAGCTTCAGGCATCGAGCTGTCCATTTCAGCTTTTCCCTTTTGCCCATGGATCAAATTCTGTTTTCTTTTTTGTGTTCATGTTTCCTCTTAAATTGAAGGCAACTACTGCTGCTGGCAGCTCCAGAAATACAGGGCACCTCAGGCTTGTTTTATCCTGAGAGGTGATTAAATAAAATAAATTAAATTAACGATGCTTTGCACCATCATCCCTTGCAGAACCATTTTTAAAATTCTTGCCAGTTCTCCATCCCACTGGGAGTCAAGGAAGCCCATGGAGAAATATTCCTGTTTCCCTTTTCCCCCACTCAACAGGTCCTGCTGCTGAGTGAACCATGAGTGACCCTTGTGCTGCTTCCACTTGGGAATAAATCACATTTCCTGCAGGAAAACACATGCTCAGTGATGGGGTTGCTGTTTCCTGTTGCAGTTTCCCCTTTCCTGTGTCCTGTGCTGGGTGCGTTCCAGGAGAGACCAGAAGGGAACCTGCCCTCTTATCACAGCTTTGCTCTTGGGCTGGGTTTGACAACTTGAAGGCTGTTAAGGGAAAAAGATTGGAGGAGGAGGAGGAGGGGGGGAGGAACAGAAGAAACTCACTGGGTGTAAAACCATAAGGGGATTCCCAGTCCTCTCCTACAGCTGCAGGAATTGCAGCTGCACGTCTGGACATGGCTCCAGCAGCTGAATCTCCTTCAGTTTAACCCACCCGTGCCTTTGAGCTGCACTGGAGCTTCCTGAAGGGCTGATCAGAGGAGCAGCTCAATCCCTGTCCCTTCCCTGTGCTGGTATTAAATAATAAATTACCCCCTGTGAAAAATGCGTATTTTATGATTGGCTTTTTGCAAATATTAAAATGAATATTCGATGAGTTGTGTTAGAAAGTAATGCTGTATTAATTCTCTTAAGTAGTGTGTTAAATATAGTTTTAGGTTATAACATAATGTTAAAATAGAAACTATGCTCTGTAAGATACTTTTTTTAAAAGAGAGGAACGAGGGACTCCCACTGAGATAGCAGCCATAGGACACCTAAATCTTTCAGAGAAAGAGAATTTATTGCTCACTTATCGGAAGAAACAAACTGATGCCATCAGGATTAAGAGAAAGAAGCTGAAACTGACAGGACAGAATCTTTTGTTTGAATGGAATTTATGCATCATGGATGAGGTGTATGAATATGCAACAGGCTGTTGCTTTTAAGGGTTAATCCTCTGTTAATGTGTGTCCTTTTTCTGGCTCATGTTGCCCAGAAAGAGGTACCTGGACTCTCTGTAACTCTTTGTTTTTATTGTCTCATATTGTCCTAATCCAAATTGTCCAAATTATTATTACTCTAATTATATGACTATTTTTATAAGCATTTGATTACTATTAAACTTTTAAAATGTTAAAACCGAGTGATGGGCGTTTCTCACACCCCCTCTCGAAGCACACATCAAATCCTTGCTGAGAGGGCTGGGTGGGGGTGTGAGGGGAGGAAAAGGAGGGGACCCAACAGCAGCTTCAGGACCTTTTCAGAGCCATCCGGCTGCAGGATGTGGGGAAAGTGTGAAGAGCAGCAGCAGCACAGAGCCGTGGGGTCAGCCCTGAAGTGGGGCTGCTTTCCAGGAACAGCAGCGTGGGGAAAACCTGGATGGGCCCTGCAGGGGCTCTGCCAGCCCCTGGAGCTGCTGGGGATGGGGGCTGCACTGCCCTGGCTGTGGGGATGGGCTGGGGGCCAAGCAGGGCATGAAGGAGGTTGTTTTGTCTCCCAGTTCCTGCTGGACTGCAGGAGGAAGCTTGTTTGACCCCCCAGGGCATCACCTTGAGGGTGGCACCACAGAAAGGAATCCATCAGAAGCCTCCCAAATCCATCAGAATCCATCAGAAGCCTCCCAAATCCATCAGAATCCACCAGAAGGTCTCCCAGAGCCTCCTGATCCAGAGGGTGGAGGATGCCCAGGTGCTACAGCTCTGCCATCTCCTGTGTCTCCAAGCACCAGGTGAGGGGTTTGAGTGTGGGCTCCTGGCAGGGTTTGGGTGAGGAATTTGTGCTTATCAGCTGCTCTCAGCTTTTTGTGTGCCCTTGAGCAATGCCATGGGAATTTTGCCCTTCTGTGAGCTTCTGCCAACTCCTGTTCGCTTCTCTCTTCTCCTTCTTGATTTTTATACATCAAACTTCCTTGAAAATGGAGGAAATGAAACCACAGGGCTTTTTTGTGAGTGACAAGGGAGAGGTCAGCCTCCTTCCAGAGAAGAAATGAAATTTAGGGGGAAGGCAAGAAAATGATCTCCCTGGTCATTTTTGCTGGTTTCAGGAGTTTGGGGGCCACGTGGTCTGGCAGTTCATCTCCTGACTCTGCAAATATCCCATGGGCACCATGGAACATGTGGCATGTGGAGCATGGACCTGATGATCCCAGACAGGTCCTGCTGCAGGGCTGGATCCTTTCTCCATAGTTCTGAACCCTTTCCCAGCTGGGTAGATCTGGGCAAAGTTTTCCTCCTCAGAGGCTGGGTTTGCTGGGGACTTGGGGGTCTGTGAGGACTCTGGGAAGGGGGAGACATGGGGTGAGGAGATGGAGAGCAGGGGTAGATGGGGCTGAGGAGGAAGGGGACCTCCCTGTGCATATTGCCTTGGGAATGTGGATCTTTCTTTCCTGAAAAGCCATTTCTGCTGACTTTCACACCGGGATTAGCACTCAGGAGGTCGCTGCATCCAGGTGTCTCTGACTTGGGTTTGCTGAAATCCCCAGCAGCCCCAGGACACCCAAAGGTCTGGGAGCAGGGGGATAGGAGTGTCCTGAATCTCACTTAGACAATGTGAGGGACAGGCACTCACATTGTCTAAGTGTGGAGTTACTGGAGACTCAACACCTGGGACACGTCCAGCTTGGCTTGGGATGCAACAGGAAATACCAGCACCTTATTCCCCCATGGGACACACATCCCTTGGCTCCTCTCAAAGACCTGAGCTGGGGGTTGGAGGCAGGAGGGGTCTGGAGGGACACAGGGGCGATAGATGCCATGCAGGGGTGGCATTTCTCCATCCTGCAGGAGTGATGGCGTGGCTGTGCAGGGCAGAACCACCCTGGTCACCATCTCTGTGGGCTGAGACCCCTGGAGCTGCGTAGAGGAGTCACCATGCAAGGCTTGTCCCCAGGAGCTGTGTGACACCCTGGCTGCCTGCTGGGCCCCGTGGTTCCTCCCTGCAGGGTGTGAGTGAGTGCATGACCCGTGCAGGGAGTGCTGTGCTCAGTGAGCAGAGCAGCAGGGCCCGCTCGCTGCCTCCATGTGACTGCAGCTTCCGTCGCTCCTTCCGCAAAGCCTAAATTGGTGCTCAGCCACAGGGCGGGTGGCACACGGCCCCCAGGGTGGCACACGGACCCCCAGGGTGGCACACGGACCCCCAGGGTGGCACACAGACCCCCAGGGTGGCACACAGACCCCTAGCCCTGTCCCCAGGACCCCCTGAGAGCAGCTGAGGGGCTGCAGGATGGAGCGTGCCAAAGCCCACGCGGTGAGTAACTGCACCCCTTACCTGTGCTGGGGGAAACACCCAGTGTGGGGGTTCCTGAGCCCGTCTGGGGACCTGTGTGTCACCAACAGCCGTGCTCGAAGGGCTGTGGCTGCGTGGGCTCATGCTGGGGTTGGTGTGAAGCGTGGGGAGCAGCCCGGCAGCTCCCAGAGCTCTTGGATGTGGGCTCTGGTGTAGGGCTGCGGGCAAGGATTTCCTGCTGGGGCTGCTGCCTCCTCTCCTGCCTGGCCAGGTGCCATCCCACCAGCTCCAGGGAGCACTGGGGGGATGGAGGTGCTTCTGGTGTTGGGAGAAGCTGAGGAAGGTTGAGGTGGGTGAAGGAAAGTGGGAGTTTCTGCAGAGAACCAAAACTGTGTTCTTTGGGTGCAGCAAAGACCGAGGTCCAGGACAGCAGGGTTCCTCTCCTGCCACCGTGCCTGGGTAGGAGTTGCTGCTGGACCCCAAGGATTTGAGAGGGTGAAAGGTGCTGTGTGTCTGTTGCAACCTGGGGAAAGGGGACTGCCTCTCCATCTCCCCCAGAGAAATAAATCCTGCTTTGATAATGCACCAGCTCAACACTTTGGCTGTCCCAAGGAAGGAGATAGCCCAGGACATGCCCTGCTCCCTCTGTGCTGTGAGGCTCTGGCTCCCTGGGCTGCCCAAAATAACCCTGTTTCTCCTTCATGCAGTGGCAGCTGTGAAAGTGCTGTGTGTCAAACACTGGCTGAGCCCTCACTGCTCATTTGCCTGAGTTTCAGCTTTTCCCCAGATGCAAATGCCGTCAGCTCCGCTCCCACCAGGTCAGTGATGGGCCAGCTCCTGCTGGAGAGCCTCTGCTTCCCTGGAAGGGTCCCCAGCAGGCATGGGCAGTGGGGGGACGTGGGGGGGTGGGCTGGTGTCCCCTGGGGGAGTGTTTGGTGCCAAGAGGGGGCACATGAGCCCTGCTGGGGGGACACCCTGCTGGAAGGATGCAGCTCAGTGGCCTTCACGAGCAGCTGTGCAGCAGTGACGGTGCCTTCCCCCCGTGTGCTGCCACCCCCGTGCCTGCCCTTCCCCAAACTGGGGGAGCCCCACCAGGGCTTCTGCAGGGGTGGGTGGGCTCAGTGCCAAGGCTCTGCGCCCCTTAATCCACGGGCAGCATCACCTGGGGCTTTTGGGGTGGACAGTTTGCAGCTCCTGACCTCCTGCCTTCTGCCTCCCTCTCCACAGGAGTGCCACCACTGAGATGGAGGCCCCACTCCCTGGTCTCTCCCTGCTCCTTCTCCTCCTGGCAGTGGGATGGGGAAGCAGGATGGATGCAGCCTGGGCATCATCTCCTGGGGGCTGTGAGCTTGTAAGTCCTCTCTTGTGAACCCTCACCCGTCTGAGTGCTTGGTCCTGCCTGGCAAAGCCCAGGCAGCTCAGCATCTCCAGACCTTCTCCATCCCAGCTACTGGTTGGAGCGGACTGGTGTGCCAAGGCTACAAGCAAGAGCCACCTCCTCCCCCCTTCCTGTGCTCCCCAGACTGCTCCCTCTTCATCTCCTGCCTCCCAGGTGGTGTTAGATATCCTCCTCTTTCCTCAGGTGCAGAGCATCATGGACTGCACTGGCAGATGGCTGAGTTCCATCCCAGGAAACCTTCGAGGCGATACCGAGGAGCTGTTTCTTGATGACAACACTATCCAGGTCCTGGGCAATGCCTCCCTGCTCCTGTATCCCCAGCTCTGGCATCTCAGCTTGACCAGGAACCGGCTGGAGCTCATTGAGCCCGGTGCCTTCCTCAGCAGCCAAGGCCTGGAGGTGCTCTCCTTGACAGACAACCTGCTCTTCACCAACTACTCGCTGACAGCCGCTGCTCTTTCTGCTCTGCCGGCCTTGAGGATGCTGGATCTGACTGGAAACCAGCTCAGGGAGGACATGGTATCAGTTTTAGTCTCGAACATCTCTTCCTTGGAGTCCCTGTCTCTGGCCAGGAACATCATCATGAGGTTGGACTCGTCCACCTTCACAAACCTGACAGAGCTGCTGGAGCTGAACCTGGAGAAGAACTACATCTTTGAGATTGACAATGCCTTTGAAGGGCTGCAGAGGCTGCAGAGGCTGAACTTAGCTTACAACTACCTCCCATGTCTGGTGGGGTTTGACCTGACCCAGCTCAGGGTGCTCAATCTCAGCAACAATGTCATTGAGTGGTTTCTGACCATGGAAATTGATGACCTCTTTGAGCTGGAGGTGCTGGACCTGTCCCACAACCGCCTGCTGTTCTTCCCTGTGCTGCCAAGGCAGAGCAAGCTGCACTCCTTGCTGCTGCAGGACAACAGGATGAGCTTCTACCAGCGGCTCCCCAATGGCACCTCCCTGGCCAACGTCACCATGCAGTTCCTGATCATCGATGGCAACTCCACCAACATCACCACGGTCAGGCTCTGGGATGAGCTCTGCCACAGCAACCTCTCCTCCCTGCGCCTCCTGGACATGAGCCAGAATGAGGTCTGGGGCCTGCCAGATGATTTCCTTGCCCAGATGCCCTCCCTGACCCACCTGAAGCTCAGCCAGAACTGCCTGGAGGCATTTCACCTGTCGGAGGAGGACACCTTGGCCATGCTGACAGAGCTGGACCTCAGCCACAACCAGCTGGTGGAGCTGGGGGTGAAGGTGGGCACTGGGGACATCCTGCCCAGCCTGAAGCTCTTCAACCTCAGCTCCAACAGGCTGCAGGCTCTTCCTCCTGGGATTTTCACCCACACCAGGAAGATCACTACACTGGACCTCAGCTACAACCGGGTTGACCTCTGTCCCCAGCCAGGTGAGGCCCAGAGTCTGTCCTGCGTGGACATCAGGGGCGTGGAGACCTTGAGCCACCTTTCCTTGGCTGGCTGTGGTCTGCAGGGGATGGGTGGCCGCCCCTTCCAGGGGACATCACTGATGCACCTGGACCTCTCTGACAACCGCCAGCTGCTGTCCAGGGACCTGGGCTGGCTGCAGGACCTCGTCCTGACACTGCAGGTGCTGTCTCTGAGGAACACCAGCCTCTCCTCCACCACGGACTTCTCTGCCCTGAGCAGCCTGGTGCGCTTGGACCTTTCTGGGAACTGCCTGGCCGCGTTCCCCGCCTGGCTGGGCGCGCTGAGGCTGCGCAGCCTGGACCTGCGGGACACCTGCCTGCCGGCCCTGCCGCGGGACCTGCCACACCAGGCACTGCTGGGCAGGAGCCTGCGGGAGCTCTACCTCAGCCAGAACCCCTACAACTGCTGCACGCTGGGCTGGTGGGACGCCCTGCAGCAGGCCCAGGGCCTGCATGTCCCTGACAGGCAGGAGGTGACCTGCAGGCACGGCCCCCGCGCGCTCAGCCCCGGCGCGCTGCCCCAGCCCGTCCTGCAGAGCTGCCAATGGCAGACGGCCAACATGGAGCTGCTCTACCTGGTGCTGGCTCTGCCCACCTGCCTGACGCTCCTGGTGGCCTTCGTGGTTGTCTTCCTCATGCTCAAGGAGAAGCTGCTGAAAATGGTGAAAAATCGGTGTGGGGTGTCCAGCCCTTACTAATGGCTGAGGAAGAGGAAGGGCTCGGGAAGAGTCAATAATAGGGGGTGGTCAGGAGTGCAGGTGATAACCCCTCCAAGGTGGTCAAGATGGAAAGGTGATGGATGCAGGACAGGAGGTGCTGGGAGAGCTGCCATTCCTGCCCTCATGGTACCAAAGGGTGAGAGCTGTGTCTGGTGATGGAGCGCTGGGAATCCTCGAGGAACGTGTCTGCAGCAGAAACCTTCAGCTGGTGCTGGTGAGAGCTGGGTGGACATGACATCAAACATGCCTTGGCTGAAAGGACAGGTTGCCCAGAAAATCTTTGAATGCTCATGTGTGGAAGTGTACAAGGCCAAGTTGGAGTGGGCTTGGAGCAATGTGATCTAGAGGAAAGTGTAACCAGATGGATTTTTAAGGTTGTTTCCAAACCAGACCACTCTGGGATTCTGTGACAATTTTCTCCAGCACTGCTTTGCCCCCGACCTTCCAGCAGTTCCTTTTATTTATTCCCACCTGTAGCCAACTCAAAAAGTCTTCCAGATCTGCAACCAGCCTCCACAAAGTGCCCCAGGCTGGAGCAAACATCACTTGTGGAGAAGGGTCTCTGTAGCCACAGCTTTCCACTCTGCTCTTGCCAGCACTGCAGGCAACCCTGCTCATGCACCATGTGGGTGTGCTGATAAACACAGGCGTTGTCAGCAGGGCTCAAAGACACATTTTGGGGTGTTGTTTCTCCACTAAGTCACAGTCTGGGCCAGAAAAGTCCATTAGAAACAGCCCAAGTTGCAGCAACAGGAAATATCGATTGAAAAGCAGGAGAGTAAATTACATCCCTCAGTGATATTTTATCATGGATTTATATTTCTCCAGTGACTGCTGGATTAAACATACAAAGGAAACGAGAAATCCTTCCTCCTTGTTCTGCAAGCCCTGCTCTGGCGGGCAGTGCCCGGGGGTTTCCTCCACCCAGCTCTGCTCACAGCAGCTCTGCCTCTGCCAGAGCAGCAAGCACTACCTGGGGAAGTGCTGCTCTGCTCCTCGGGGGTCACTGAGGGGAAAGGAGAAGTGATGGTGGTTTGTGCTAACTCAAAAGCCCTTCTGAGAACAGGAGTGGCTTTATTCCTGTGGCACTGTTGGGATTTTTCTAGTGAAACGTGTTTAATGGGAACAGGGCACAGGGAAGTGTGCAGCAGGGTTGGAGTGGAATTCTGGGGGCTTGTCCTGCCTGGGTGTGGGTGGGCTCAGTCGGTGATGTGGGGTGTGCTGGGGATCAAGCCTGGTGGAGTTGCCCTGTGAGGTGATGGATGGAGATGCCCAAGGCTGGTCTGAAGCTGGGAGGATGCTGGGGATGGTGCAGGCAGGGGAGCCAAGGCTGGCAGCAGGGCAAACCCTTCCCAGGCACGGGTGTGGGACTGGGCTCATGGGGGAGCCTGGTGTGGCTGCTGGCTGTGCAAGGCTGGAAAATGCATGGGTCAGACCCTGCTAGACCAGCCAGCAGCTCCACTGGGGCTGAGAGCAGTACAGGCTCTGGAGACCCATCTGTCAGATCTGGCTGGGAAATGACAGCTTTCTGCCCCAGTTTTAGACTGAAATAGCCAAAACCAAAGCAGGCCCCAAGTGGGGAATCCCTCAGCCTATTTCAACCCTTCTTCTGCCTGTAAGCTGCACCCTGGGGGACAGCAGTGACCTATAAATACATCCCTACACCATTCCCCAATTGCATTCTGGTGTCTCCCTGCTGGCAGGGTGAGTGGGTGTCCCTGAGAGCTCCCCTCTCCCTGGGGCTGGGCTTGGAGGGGGATGAGTGTCCTTCCTCACCTCCACAGCTGGAGAGGGATGTCTGTCCTTCCCCACCTCCACAGCCAATGCTGCTGCTCCATCTGGCATGGGGTGCAGCTGTGGGAGAACACACAGGGAGGAACCCAGGCACCTGGCACTGCCCAGGGCATGGATAAGGAGGGATTCTTAATTGTATGGAGCTGATGGGGATATTCAACATTCCCTCATCATGGTGTCTGGAAGGCCATGGCTCACTTGGAGCTGTGATGTGAGGGGATGTTGGGGCAGCAGGAGGAGATTCCACTTTCTGAGGTGTCTTTACAAAGCTGCTCTCAGCATCTTTGCCAGGCCATGGTGATCAGGGAAGGTCCTTGGTGACTGGAGAACCCAGGGGTCCCACCCAGCTTCAGTAACAGCCAAAAGGCCATCCCAGAGAGCAACAGGGCAGTCACCCTCGCGTTGGGAAACCCATGGAAGAAATGTTCTTTGTTTGGAGCACAGCTCTAGAAAAAGAGGGTGGCTGGAAAAGTCAGAAGTCAGCATGGGCTGCGGAGGCTAAGTTATGCCTGCCCAGCCTGCCCTCAGGATGACCCAACCTTTCCTCTCAGGATGAAATGGATGAGTGTGTAGGCAAGGGCAGAGTGGTGGATTCCCTGTGCCTCAGCAAGGCTTTGGACAGTGTCCCACAATGTTCTGCCTACAAGTGCAGATGTCAAGGCCTGGATGTGTGGGCAGCCAGGCAGGTCAGGATCGGTGGGAGTGAAGTGCAGAGGGCTGTGGCTGGTGGGATGTGCTCACCAGGAGGCTGCTGAGGGGACTGTTTTGGGATCTGTCCCATGTCATGTCTTTATGCATGATCTAAAGCTGGCTGTCAAGAGCCTTCCTGTCATGTTCCCAGAGGATCCCAAACTGGGAAGACCAGTATGGCTCCCTGCTGAAGGTCTGGGCTGGGCTGGAGGAATGGGGACCAGGAACCTCACAGTCCAGGCACTCCTTTGGCCTCATGTAGCCCTCACTGGAGAGGGGGCCATGCCTGGGGCTGGGCACAGGCCATGTCCTGGGCAGGATGAAGCTGGGGCAGGCTGGAAGTGGAGGAGAAATTCCCAGGGGCCCTCTCCCTCCCAAGTGGAAGATCTTTCTGTGTTGTTACATTGCAATTGTTGAGGCAAGGCCTGTGCCAGACCCCTGCATGCCCTTTCCCGTCCTGGGAGAGCAGAGTCGGCCTTCACTTTTTTTTTTTAATTTTGACAAGTGAGGCCTCATCTTTTATTTCTCTCCTGACTGAAGACCCCCTTGGCCAAGTGTGAGCTCCCTTGTCCTCTCTAGTAAAGCACTCTGGTTTAACTGACACTTGCTCCATGTTTTTCACAGCAGTGACTCATTTTGGGGTGTAGGAGGAGAGCTCTTCCAGCTGCTCCTCCAGCCACTCCTCTTAGTTATTTCAGCAGTGTGTTGAGGCCCCTCAGTTTGGGATGAAGGCCCATCTCACCCTCAGCCCTCACAGCTGCCTGGGTTCAGAAAGCCAAAACCCAGAAAGCTTTTGGAGTTGTAAAATTTCCCAAAGAATCCTAATCTTAGTCCTCCAGGTATTACATGAGAGCAGGACTGATGTAGTAGAGGCCAGCCAAGGTAGACAGCTGGATTAAAACCTTCAGTGGGATGAGTTTATCTTACTCTAGAACCATCCCCAGCCTCTGACCTTCTACCACTCTGGTTTTTCAGATACTTTAAGCACATTCTCCCAGAACTGAGCACTTATGAGGAAGCATCACCCAGGAGTGTAAGGATCCAATCATCCCATTTCAGCAGTTTGAAATGACTGTGTTTTGAAAAGTACTTTCAAGACTAATTCATTTTCAAGATATTCCTATTCTCTTACATGTAAGGACTTATTTTTGTGTAAGATAAAACTAGAGATTTAAGCATGCTAGGGAAATGTGAGAGTAATATTCTCAATGCAGAGTTGATTTATCCAGAATGACTGATACACATTTAACTTCCCAGCAGGCAATAATAATCACCCTATTTGTACAGTACAGCTTTAACAGTGTCCTCAGGACATGAATATTTAACACCTCATTTTCAGCCAAAGCTGACTGAAATGTAAAAAATGGAAAGATTAAATAATTCAAAATTCTTTTATGTAGAAAAAGACTAAAACCAGCCAACAATTTCAGCTATGCAGTTTCCATTTAATCAAGTCTGGCTTCTTAAATAAAGCTCACTTAAGCCTGGGATTGCTGTGGCACCTTGGGTTCTCCTGAGCCAGTGTATGGTGACATTGTTCTCTCTGCTGGGACACTGAGACTTGTCTCTGAACATCCTGTCTTTGTCTGGAATCACATTTCTTCATCTGACTCCGTGTCCCAAGCACAGGCCTCCAGGTGCTCATCCTGTGGGAAATCCACCTCAACGTTGTAAACAAAGTCAGGGTCATCCCTCCTCTTCCTGTTCTTTTCGAAGAGTTCATCCATGATGCTCTTCCTTTTGGCCAGTTCCTTGTCATCCAGTTTGTTCATGTCCTCCTCTGGGTCAATGGTGTGTTCGTGGTGGTACCTTCCCAAGCTCTCAGACAGGCTCTGTCCTTCCAGATGATCTCTCAGCAAGCTGTAGAGCTTCTCTAGCTGGCGCAGGGAGACCCCTTCCAGGTAGGGCTTGTGCCGAGGGTTGTTCTTCAGCTGCTCAGCAGCCCTGCTGCAGTCTGGGGAGAGCCAACACAGCTCCAACAAACCTCTTCCCACTGACACACCTCCTCCCAAACCCTCCCCAGGGGTGTCTCCAAACCCTCCAGGCTCAGAGAGCCATTGAGATGTGGGCTCCTGGGAGAGGCAACATTACCCCGTTGCCACATTTCTCTTCACAGAGAAAAGCAAGGCACAATTCTTCTCAAAGATTTCTGAGATTCACATTCTCTGAACTTAACACAATTCTTATCACTTGCTGTGCCTGTGTTGTGCTAAAGTAGAATGCAATGTGGAAATTGTTTACTCAAAGTGAGGATGTTTTGTTCCCGTGGCCTATCAGGGCCAAGAGAGAGTGTGTGTGTGTGTGTTGTGTGTGTCAGACTGTCATGGGACAGTCACGAGAGAACCAGAGATGAGTGCAGTTCTAAGCAGTGCAAGCAGTTCTGAGTGCATGGCAGATTCAGTTTAGATACAATGTACATAGTATAATATAATAAAGTAACTAATTAGCCTTCTGATGATGGAGTCAGATGCATCATTCTCTCTCCCTCACCAACGTCGGAGTTGCCTTTGATTTACAACAACCCCAGCACAGCCTCTCCCTGCAGGGTGCTGGGAGGGCACTCAGTGTGCTGCTACCAACGGGCTCCTCTGCATGCAGCTGGAGGAAAAGAGTGAATTCATTCCTGCAGACAGGAAGGAATGCATTCAGGAAGGAATGCCCCTCACCTGAGAACCTGGAGAAATTCCTGATGGGCATGATGCGCTGGCGAGTCTTGTCCTGGACATTGTCTCTGTAGATGAGGATGATGGAAGGGGGCTGGAAGCAGACTCCACATTTCTGTGCACTGAAAATCATCCTGGCTCCATCAGAGTCCCCAGCAGCTGTCCCTGGGAAACAGGGAAAAAGGAAAACAGGGGGCAGAGTCTCTCAGTTGTGGTATTTTCTGGGGTACCCTGTGGCAGGAAGGAAATGATGAATCTGACTCCATGTTCTTACAAGGCTAATTTATTATTTTATGGTATTATATTAAAGAATGCTATACTAAAACAATATTAAAGAATAGAGAAAGGATACTTACAGAACAAGATACTAATGAAAAACTCATGACTGCTTCTAGAGTCCCAACACAGCTTGACAGTGATTGGTCATTAAGTAAAAACAATTCACACGTTGGATAAACAATCTCCAGCCACATTCCAAAGGAGCAAAACACAGGAGAAGCAAATGAGGCAATGTTGTTTTCCTTTTTCTCTGAGGCTTCTCAGCTTCCCAGGAGAGAAATCCTGGTGAAGGGATTTTTCCAGAAAATATGGCAGTGACACTCAGTGGTGCTCCTTTTGTCAGGAGTTCAGCAAAATCACAGAACCCCAGAGTGGCTTGGGTCAGAATGGGCTTAAAACCCATTCTAATTTAATTATGAAATTAAATTAGAGGGGACTTAAAAATCCAGATGAGTTGCAGATCCTGTTTCCCAGCTCAGAGGACTGCACTGAGTGCAGGTGTTACTTTTATTTTGAATAAAATAAATTGGTTAAACCCCAATGTTTTTGTTGGTTTAAATATTTTTATTGGGTTAAAACCAAAGAAAAATTTGGTTTTAAATGAGTGAAAATATGTCAAACACGAAGGTGATTTCCAGACTGTAGTAAGGCAAAGTAACATATTTTACCCCCAAAAAACAATGTATTTCTCCACATCATGAAAAATCGCATTAATGTTGAAACCTGTTTTGAGGCAGAATTGGAAACACTTCCTCCTTTGTATAAAATCACATAGGAAAGAGTTCGAACATGCAGTAATGTCCTTAATAGTGAAAATTTCCAGTGCCAGGCTGGCGGGGATTTGGAGGAACATGGAGTAGTGGAAGGTGTCCCTGCCCATGGCAGAGGCTGGAACGAGAGGAGCTTTAAGGTCCCTCCAACCCGAACCATTCCGGGATTCTGCGAAGATGAGAAGCACAAACGGGAGCAGCTCTTCGGATCTGCGGCAAAGAGCGTTTGGATCTCCCGGTAACCGGGCTGAGCCCTTCTCTGCCGGCGTCACCGGCGGCTCCGGCAGCACAGCCGGGTGTGGGTCAGGGCCGGGGCCGTTCAGAGCCGCGGTTCAGCCGCACGAACGGCCGAGGCCCGAGCTCTGAGCTCGAGGGGCAGCGGGGCAGGGCCGGGTTGGTCCCTCCCAGCCGGGCCCATCCTGGGAGGGGCAGGGGGGACCACAGTGAGTCCATCTGGTGCCACCTCCCTGCTCCAGCAGGGCCATCCCAGAGCCCATGGTACACATTGTACCCAGACAGCTCTGGGATATCCCCACTGAGCGAGACTCCACACCGTCTCTGGGACCTGTTCAGGGCTCAGGCACTGCCCAGGAAAGTTCTTCCTCATGTCCAGGTGGAGCTGCCTGGGCTCAGGCCCTGCCCGTGGCTCTGGTGCCATGGCTGGGCCTGGAGCAGAGCCCGGCCCTGCTCTGCCCCTCCCGGCAGCCAGGGCCAGCCAGGGCTGAGGGCCCCTCTCAGCTGGGGCTCCTCTCCAGGCTGAGCAGCCCCAGCTCCCTCAGCCTTTCCTGGGCACCCACATGCTCCAGGCCCTTCCTCCACAGCCTCCGCTGGCCCTGCTCCAGGAACTCCCTGTCTCCCTTACACTCTCGCCCCATCCCCTCACCTCGGGGGGCGCAGAAACACATTTCTTCCTCTTCTCCTTCCTCCTCTTCTTCCTCCAGCTCCATCTCCCGCTCCCGCTCCTCCCCCTGGGCGGTCCGGCCTCTCCGGGCGGTTGCCATGGCTCCGCCGCCGCCGCCGAGGCCCGGCGGTAAAGGCCCCCTCTACTCAAGGCCCCCTTCGGGCTGCCCTCACCAACGCCTGCGGAACACGGCGCCGCGGAGCAAGGGATGGGCGGGCCCCGCGCGGTCAGGCGGCGCGAGGGGCAGCCCGCGCGGGCCGTGAGGAGCGGGCCGCCATGGCGGGCGGGCGGCGGGGGCCGGTGCGGGTCGGGGCCGGGCTGGGCGCGCTGCTCTGCGCCCTCCGTGAGTGCCCGCGGGGAACCGCGCCGCGAAAGGAGCGCGGGGTGGGAGGGGTCCGGCCATTCTGCTCTGGAGCCAGGCTGGGAGAGCTGGGGGTGTTCCGCCTGGAGAAGGGAAGGATTCAGGGAGAGCTCAGAGTCCCTGCCAGTGCCTAAAGGCGCTCCAGGAGAGCTGGAGAGGGACTGGGGACAAGGAATGGAGTGACAGGACACAGGGAATGGCTGCACACTGCCAGAGAGCAGGGTTAGATGGGATATTGGGACGGAATTCTTCCTTGTGAGGGTGGTGAGGCCCTGGCACAGGTTGCCCAGAGCAGCTGTAGCTGGAGGTGTTGAAGGACAGATCTGGAGCACCCTGGTCTTGGGGATCCCTCCCTGCCCAAAGCTAAGAGTTGGGACAAGATGGGCTTGAAGATCTTTTCCAACCCAAACCATCCTGTGACTCTGGATTTGGGAACTATGGCTCAGTCAGTGAACCAAGAAAGCTCTTCTGCTCTTTGGTCACAGTCAAGTACTGCTTCCCTTCTTCTGGGAGAGGGTTTGCAGATGAGGCATTCATGAGTTATAAAACTTCTCCAACCTCTGTGGTCGCTGTGCTGTTACACTGTTGGCTCTATGTCACCTTAGATGTGCAGGCAGCCTGTCGGGTCACCACTGTCACACAGGAGCTGCTGAAGGAGGGGTTTCACAGGTGAGTCCTCTCCCTGCCCTCCATCACCATAACGTGCCCCAGGATTGTCTGTTGGAAGAAACTTCTCTTCTTTTCATGTGGAATTGTAGCAACTCCCTGGGCCATGATTCCTGGGAATGTATTAACAGCACCAAGGGATTAACCAGCTGTAGTGGAGGGAAAATAGGAGGTCCCTTTCTAAAGCTTTTGTGGAGGCTGTTGGTGGTTCTGAGGCATTAACAAAGAAGTGAAACTTCATTTTGGCCGTGGATGTGGGGTTGAGGTTAAGAAAGCTGGACAGGGAAATGGGATCAGAATGAGTTGCACTCGGTGTGAGATCTCATCTCCTCTGAGAAATGTCTCTCACGGCACTTGTGCCCTACTTTTGAAGTGTGGGTGTAAATGTTTTGCTCCTGTTGCTGTTTGAAGGGACCTGCTGGTGAAGGTAGAGCTGGGGGAGGATGCAGGAGGATGTGCAGTGGCAGCTCAGGTGCATCTGCCACCTGGAATCTACGTGGATCCCTACGAGCTGGCAACGCTGCAGCAGCACAACCTGACCAAGGTAATAGCCCCAGCACCAGGAGAGGTGGCAGGGACTCAGGGACTTGGACTGTCTGCTCATTATCTGGCTCATTGAACCAAGGTGGTTATTCCTGGAAGGAGGTGCCAAACAATTTAATCTTCCTGGTGTCTCCTTGTAGCCCAGCTTGCTTGGCATCCCCTGGTGCTGCTGGTATTGTCACACACAGGGGATGTACCAGGGAGCTGCTGCTCCTCTCTTAGCCCCAGGTGAGCAGCTGTGGTAAAAGGGCCTGGGGAAACCAGTAGCCATGATATTTTCTGAAAAATCCCTTTGCCAGGATTTTTCTTTCTCCTGAAGAGCTGAGAAGCCTCAGAAGAAAAGAAAAACAATAATTATCTGCTGCTGTAGAATGCAACAGGTGCATCTGGGATTGGTCCATGTTGGTTGTTTTTAATTGATAGCCAGTCACAGTCCAGCTGTCTCAGACTCTGGTTAGTCACAAGATTTTATTATCATTCCATTCCTTTCTATCCTTGCTAGCCTTCTGATGAAATCCTTTTTTCTATTCTTTTAGTATAGTTTTAATATATCATTTTCTTTTAATATAATATATATAATAAAATAATAAATCAGCCTTCTGAAACGTGGAGCCAAGATTCTCATATCTTCCCTCATCCTGGGACCCCTGCAAACACCACCACAGAAACCCCCAGAGAGGTGCTGGTGAGCTCTAAGTCGTGTGCTGTGGTTGGACTGAGGAGCTTCCCAGCTCCTTTGGTTTTTATCCCAGCTTCATTTTCATCCCAGCTTTCTGTGCTGCTGCCCAGTCTTTGCTTCACATTAGAGAGATGTGCAAAGGTTGTGGCTTTTATCTGCTTAGGTGCTTAATTGGTCTAAAACATGGGTGGCAAAGGCTGTGGGCACCATTGTTGAGCTGACACCTCACAGGTCTGGCTGTAGACACAGTGGCACTGTGAACTTTCTCCACACTCCTGGAGGACAGTCTTGGAAAGGTATTTTGGAACAGCTTAAGGCTGGGAATTAAGGAATTCCCAACCTGATCATCCTGACCACAGAATCACTCTCAGTGTCAGAACGAAGTGGGGGAAGCACTTTCTGATTTCCATCACCACCACTGCTGTGTCTCTCCCTGCTTGCAGGCAGTGCTATTCCCTGATGCCATAGACCTGGAGGCTCCTGAGTACCTGGCCAAGGCTGTTGTGCTGCTGCTGTTCCTGGAGCCGGAGGCGCGCTGCTCCCGCTGCTTCCGCGGCGCCGTGCCCGTGCACGCCCGCTACCACCGCCCAGCCCGGGCCACACACCAGGCCTTGGTGGCTCTGCAGAGCCCTGAGGTGCTGCTCTGCTGCTGCCACGGTGAGATCCTCATGGGTGCTCTTGGGCAGTCCCAAATCTGGCTGTGTCTGGGATCTCTAGCTGGTTACAGTGACCCCGAGATGCGTTGAAAGTCTCTTTTCCCAGCCCAGCGCTTGAAGAAGGAGTCAGAACTCTTAATTTCTTGGTCTCAAGGTTGTTTGTTGTATCTTATCTATAAAATTCTTCCTCTTGTCTGTGGGAACCCAGAACATCCCTCTGGCTGTCCAGAATGGCCAAGACCCCTGCCAGGGGGCTCAGAAGCCCTGGCACAGAGCCCAAAACACCTGTGGGTTTGATTATGACCCGTGGAGCAAATTACCAACCTTATATGAAGATCTGCAAGCCACGACAGTTTAGGTAGAATAATAGTGAAGTTATCATGGGGTGAAAAAGTAGATTTTGGGGTTTTTGGTATGGGGGTTCAGGGGGCAAGATGGAGGGATCTGGGCATGTCCAGCCTTTCTCCTTCTTGGCCTCCATCTTCTGCTGTGATGTTGGCACTTTGGGACTGGTTTAGAGTAGAAGCTCACTGTCTAACATAGGTGATAGGTATTGGGAAGTAACTATAAACATTGTACACATAATTTTTAGTATAAAGACATAACCCTGCCCTGGGGGCAGGCAGAGTGCCTCTGACTGTCCTGTTGGATGGACCTCGGCAGGGCAGGAGAAAATTTTTTATAGATAAGAAACAATAAACAACCTTGAGACTGAGAAATTAAGAGCTCTGACTCCTTCTTCAAGTGTTGGGCTGGGAAAAGAGACTTTTAGCATCTCTTGGGGTCACAGCGGCCATGAAAAGATCCCGAGACCTGTCCAGCCAAGGTCTGCTCAGCAGGACAGTCCAGGCACTCTGCCCCCCTCAGAGGTTGTGTTATCCTTTTATACTAAAAACTACATATACAATGTTTACAATGACTTCCCAATACCTATCACCTATGTTAGACAGTGTGCTTCTGCTCTAAACCAATCCAAAAGTGCCAACATCACAGCAGAAGATGGAGGCCAAGAGGAAGAAGGAGAAAGGCTGGACGCACCCAGATCCCTCCATCTTGCCGTCTGAGCTCCCATTCTATAAACCCCAAACATCTGTTTTTCACCCTGTGATAAATTCACTATCATTCTACTTAAACTGTTGTGGCTTGCAGATCTTCATCTAAGGTTGGTAATTTTCTCCATGGGTCATAATCAAAATCACAGGCATCTTGGGCTCTGTGCCAGGGTCTCTGAGCCCCCTGGCAGGGGTCCTGGCAGTCCAGGACAGCCAGAGGAATGTCCTGAATTCCAACAGTTGTGTCTGAGATGGGGCTCTTGGTAGTTGTGTGAACATAAGCAGAAGGCATGGCCCTGATAAAGACCTTTCTTCCTTTTGATGCTAAAATCTAGAGACTTTTCTCCTTCAGGAACATGATAAAGATTATCTTGCTGGATACTTTTAAGTCAGCATCATTCCAAGTGTCAGAACTTGATCAGGTGATCCCATTTCCCCAATTTATAACCACATTTTATAACCAAAGCCAAGGGAATTTGGAAGGTGAGGAAGAGGCAGATGCACTGGATCCTTGAGGAGGAAGTTGGACTAGAAAAGGCTGCTGTGGTCCTCTGGATGATGAGGGAATGGAGAAACCCTTATGGTCAACTTCCTAGCAACCTTTTCCCTTCAGCCTTCCCTCTGCACCCCACTGAGCTCCTTGACACCTTTCACTTGCTCTGTGCTTACTGTGAAGATGCATTTGCACTGCTGAGAGAGTTTTGAAGTTCTGTGAATTTTTGGTTCCTTCCTGCTCCTTTTTGGCTGGATAGCCCTAATGATATGGAAAAAAAATACCATGCAGTGCCTCACTGTCAACCTGCCTTTTAGGCATTATATGACTGCTGATCTGTGACCTCCCATCCTTCTTCTTGTGAATCCTCTGTGATATGATAAAGGTCTATCTCACTGAGTGCTGCTGCCTGGCCAAAGGCAGGGGCTTGTCAGAGGCTGCTCTGTGTCAGAGGTTGCCCTGTCTTGTGCTGCTGCCATTGTATCCCTGTGCTGATTGGGGTCTTCCAGCTGGAAGATGTGGCAGTTGTCACAACCTGTGTTTGTCATGATCCTGGCTTGCCAAAGGCCCCCTGCTCTGACCACTTTTCTCTTCGCAGTTAGAGCTGTGCAGGGTGTGTTCAGTAGCCACTGTCACCTATTCATAGTAATCAAAGTGTTCAAATGGCTTCTGACACTGTTGCTGCATTCCCTTTATATAAAGGGAGAATGTAGGAAACTGTGCCTGAAGCTTGGAATGGCTGGAGTCTCAAACTCTGGTGAAACAAGAGCCTAATATCCACTACAATTAGTATTTCAAGTTATGTGAAGAATGAAATCCTGTTGTTGTTCTATTTCTCTAGAGTCCCATAATGATATTATCAGACTTCTAAAGTCCATACCTCTTTGGTGTATTCTCATGGCTGCAGATCTTCACTGACTCCTTCTTCTGCATGCTGTTCTCTCTCAGCTCAGGGCTCCTCCAAGGCTCTCCCTGACTGGCTAACCCACCCCCTTTTATCCCAGTTATTTTCATTGGTTACAGCTGCAGCCCAATTAAGGGCATCACAGCTGCAGCTCATCAAGGGCAACCAGGACCTCTGGGGCAAAGCCTCTATACAGATATTCAAATACATTTCCTCTATTATATTTCCCCCTTTTCTTTTACATGAGTTAACAGTTGTACAGATATTCAAGTACAATACATACATTTCTCCATGACTCACAGGCCATGTACAACCCACATATTCTCTCACAACTCACAGGCCATGTACAACACCCATAGCTCCTTGCTCAAAGGCCATACTCTTTCACAGCTCCCTGACCCAAAGGCTATGGTCTGTCACAGCTCTTGGCTGTCTTATCTTCTGCTAACTATCACATCGGGGTCACCAAATGCTCTTGTTGTTCTATTATTTCCCTAGAGTCTCATAATGATATTATCAGATTTCTAAAGTCCATACCTCTTTGATGTATTCTCATGGCTGCAGATCTTCACAGCACAGACTCTGTCTGCTGCATGCTGTTCTCTCTCAGGTCAGGGCTCCTCCAAGGCTCTCCCTGACTGGCTAATCCACCCCCCCCACCCCCTTTTATCCCAGTTATCTTCATTGGTTACAGCTGCAGCCCAATTAAGGACATCACAGCTGCAGCCCATCAAGGACAACTGGGACCTCTGGGGCAAAGCCTCTATACAGAAATTCAAATACAAAACATTTCCTCTACTATAAAATCCTATATTTTTGTTACAAATTTTGTGTCCCTTCACAGAATCATTCCTGCCAAGTCAAGCACACTCATGATTTTCAACTCCTTTTTCTTTACCTGTGCATAATTTGAGCAATAATTTTCTGGATAAGCATAGGGACAGGCAGGACTACCTGGTCACTTAAAAAAAGGGTGTTAAATCTTCCTGGCACATTTACAGTTATGAGCAGGAAAATATTTATTATTAATGATTAATGGGGAGGGATTTGAAGTATTGGAAGGGAGATCTTTTATGTGCTGACAGGAGGCCAAGAAGAGAAATGGCCTTACTTATTTTGGGGGAAATTCTAACTACATGGCTAAAGTTGAGGGGTCTGCAGGCTAACCAGGAATTCTTTGCCTTGTTAAGGACAGAAGGGCCAAGATACCTCACAGGTGAGATTCTTTCTTGGGTTCCTCCTGTATCAGGAAGGGAAGAGTTGTAAAGTCCACTGCACAGACTGCTCAGTGTCACTTTGGCCATGCAGAGGTGTTTCACCACTTGGCTCCCAGGGAACTGATTCTGTTGAGCTGTTGTAGGGGAAAATCTCTTATTTGGAAAAAGCTTGCGGGCTGATTGCTCATCCTGCCTGGCTCGTGGTGATGCAGGAATGCTTTCCCTAGGTCAGCTGTCTGCAGAGTGCTGGGAACCCGCTGAAGTGGACACTCCCTGCTCACCTGACACCAACAGTTCCTGTCAGTGGCACACCACAAAACACAGACCTGTGAGTTCTCCCTCTGGTTCTTTTTAACAACTGCTGCCTTTTTGCTGGGATTAACACCTTTCTGGATTAATTTTTAATCCTTTTTCCCTTTCTGACTGGCTTTTAGTGGGGGTCATCCTGCCCTTCTGCTGTGTTTACAGGGATTGTGGTCTTCTGGCTCTTTAGCATGGCTGCTCTTCTGGTTCCTCATCCTGTCAAAAAGAAACAGCTGGCCAAATGAGTGTTATATATTTATTTTTCTTTGTAGGCATATGAGGAATTGATGCTGAGGGTTCCTGTGGGGCTCAGGGAGCACAATTCCCTGGTGTGTGCCCTGACCCTGCTCACCACAGGGCTCTGCTCTGGCCTGATCCTGGCTGCTGCCTGCAAGTATGGACACTTCTCACAGTGACCTGAGGAATGTGGGATGGCTGAGCTCCCTCCAGCACAACTAACTGCACATTGCACTGGGATTCTGGATGGATCCTACTCTGCTGTTAGTGATCTCTTAGGGGGTGCCAGAGTCCCATAATGGATTATGGTTCCTTTGGCTCATAATGCTTACAAATGCCTTTCACAGCCCACAAAACATTTTGGGTGTGTTATCAATATCCAAAGCAGATGGAGAGTAGGAAAAAGTCTCAAAAAGCTGAAAGCACTGCTGTGGGCAATGAGGCAACAATCAGGAGTGGGTTTGGGGCTCCTCTTCCCTCCTCCTGGCCCAGAACCTGCTTCCAATATAGTGCTGCCTCTTGCAGAGGTGTTTGTATTTCTTCACTCAGGGATTGGTTATTAAGGTATGAAAAACATCATTGAGTCATTAAAATTTTTGAATTTTAAGCTTGTTGTGCAGATGGGTTATGTATGAAGTTGTGAAGATACATTCTGTGCCTACCTGGGACACCTCAAGAATCTCTCCCATCCTAATGACTCTGAGGGATTGGCTGCTCTTGGCCTAATTAGAATCACAGAGTCATTAAGGTTGGAAAAGCCCTCTAAGGTCATTGAGACCAACCATTCCCCCAGTGCTGCCAAAGCCACTCCTAACCCATGTCCCCAAGTGCCACATCCACAGGTCTGTGAAACCCCTCCAGGGGACTCCACCACTGCCCTGACAGCTGTGCCAGGGCTGGAGAGCCCTTCCCAAGAGGAACCTTTCCCAATATCCAACCTGAACCTCCCCTGGCACAGCTTGAGGCTGTTTCCTCTTGTCCTGTCCCTGTTTCCTGGGAGAAAAGCCTGACCCTCACCTGGCTCCACGTCCTGTCAGGAGTTCTGAAGAGAGTGAAGGTTCCCCTGAGCCTCCTTTTCTCCAGGCTGAACAATTGGTCAGAATTGAGAATTTAGAAAATCTGAAGAAATTTCACCCTATTTCATGAGTGCAAAGAAACCCTTGGAAGATGAAAGTGAGGGACAGGATAGTGACCAGAAGCAAATATTTAGAAGATGTACATTCAGTCTCCAGGACAGTTGATAAATAGAAGGAAATGGAGAGGAAATGAGCTAATGGAAAAGCCGAGAGGCTCTGGAGCAGCAGAGCTCGGGCACTGTCTGCAGCTGTCAGTAGGTGGCACTGGGAGCCCACGGTAACCCCGTGTGGAGAAAAGAGATTTTATTCCCCATTAACCTCGAGTCAATTAATCAAAGCAGGGAATCTGGGTGAGTGTGTGTGTTTGAGGGGGTGAATGAAAATTCATCCATGTCCCTTGGGCATCTTTCTCCTGCTGGAATTGAACAGAGTGAATTCCTTGGGAAACAATCAAGGAGAGATTTGGGCTGTCCAGCCCTGCCAGCACTGTGCCACTTGTCTCCAAGTGAGATGTTTCATTCCCAGAGCTCAGTTTGTTCCTGTGCTCTGTAGGTTTGGAGCCTGACCCTTGGAATGGCAACATCCCAGATTGTCAGAGCTGAGGGACAGGATTTCATTGCCTGTTTTTAAACACCAGTTGAAAATCATAGGTTGAATCCCTCAGCTAAATCAATCTCCCTGACAAAACCTAGGGAAGGGGAATGGGAATGGAACAAAAAATATTGCAGGTGGAAAAAATATGGAGGTAAAGTGTATATCAAGATTTCCATCAATCACCTTTTCAACTGAACCTGATTCTGATTAATGTAAAATATGAGAGGAATGGCAGAGCTTCACAAGGGGTGGGTTTTGTTGTGGCAAATATTTGCCACTGCACTTGTATTATAAATATAGCAGACACATTTTTCCTTGCAAGCTGTAAATAATCTGATAATCATAGCAGTGTTAATTACAAAGGAATTTGCCAGTGAATCTCTCTCTCAGAGCAGAAACTGCTGTCACTGAGGCAGCACAGAATTTAGCAGGTGTGCCATGCAGGAGTATTCAAGTGCCAGCTCCAGAGGGATCACAGAGATCAGAGGAGCTGTAAGTCCTGTGCAAAAATTCTGGCAGTTTTGGAGACAGGAATGAGGTGTTCAGGAGTTCTTGGCAAGAAATCACCACAAGGAGGGTTGGACACAAATATCCCCATCCTCAATATGTGTAAGGACTGGATCAGAGCAGGGAAAGAAAAGGGGATGGGGCATTAAAGGCTGTGTTGGGAATTAAGGCTTTCTGAATCACAAAGAAATGGGTATAAAAACCAAAACAACAACAACAACAAAACAACAACAACGACAAAAAACAAAATAAAAAAACCCTCCCTGGGGAGGGAGACAGAAGGGTGGGAGGGGAGTCAGGATCCTGCAAATGGAGCTGGAGCTGAGAGGGGCTGGGGGTAGGAGGCCAAGGCAGCATGGAGAGGTGAGGAGGGATGGGAGGAAGGCCAAGGGAAGGGTGAAGCCACAAACCAGCTGGAGCTTCTCCAGGGGTGTTGCAGAGGTGAATTAGCAGTGGCTGGGCTGAGTCAGAAAGGGAAAAGCAAACGTGGGAAGAGAAGTGAAAGCACGGCTGTGCCTGCAGGGGATTGGATGGGGGTCACTTGGGAATGTTCCTGGAAAATGGGCACATCTGCAGGACAGGGGTTTTGTGGCTCTGCAGAGTGAGGGAGCAGACAGCCAACAGGTGTTGGCTGGAAGCCACAAGCTGGAAATTGGGATGTGCCTGGACCTGCGGGAGGATTGGGGTGTCTGTGGATCCTTTCCCTGAGAGCTGGGGAAAGGAAACTCCTGCTGTCTTGCTCCTTCCACAAGGAAAATCAGATGTTGCTGCAAACCTGGGTGCATAGAGGAGCTGAGATCCAGTCCCCAGGGCAGGTGGAAGCTTGGAGAAATCATGGAAGATTAAATGGAACAGGGGAATTTTGAGGAGAAGCCTTGAGGGCACATATATGGTGTGTTCCTGCTGGATTTCTTGGATATATGTATATAATATATAATATACATATATTGTGCATAACATTCATTATTAAAAATATGTATTGTAAATTAAATAACGTATATACATGAAATATATGTATTTTATAGTTACAATCTAATTACTATACCACACATGATATATATAACATTTATTATAAAGCACGTAATATAAATATTTTTTATGTATACTATATATATATATAAAATTAATTTTTAAATGCTGTCAGGCTCTTTTCTTTTTCTGTGACTCTGGTCCAGAGAAAAATATAACATTTTTTCTATATATATAAAAAAAATATATATATATATATATATATATATATATATATATATATATATATTTATTTATTTATATATATATAAAATATATATATAGAAAGAACCAATATATATATACATTTATATATATATTTATATATTTATATATTTATATATATTTATATATTAAAATATATATTCATGATATATATTTACATTTATATAATATATATTTATAAATAAAGATCCATAAATATTAGATATAGTTTATAGATATAAATGACGCTCCCCACCAGCCAGGGGAGGACTACAACTCCCGTCATGCCCCGCGGTGACTCAGCTTCCGGCGCGCGGCGGGCGGTGCCCCCGCGGCAATGCTCCGCCCCGCCCCCGCCCCCGCGGGCTGTGGCCACGCGCGGCGGTTCCGCTTCCCCTCCGGCCCCGCCGCCGCCGCCGCCCCGCCGGCTCCCGGTCCCGCTGCCGCCGCCCCGCTCAGCCCCGTTCCTTCCGTCCGTCCTTCCGTCCGTCCGCCGAGGCGGCGGCGCCGCCCCACCCGGTGAGTCCGCTCACACCTGCCGGCCGCGCCCCCCGCCCTTTGTGCGGCCCCGGCCGGGCCGGGCCTGCGGCGGGCGCGCCCGGGCCGCGGATCGCCCCTCGCTCCTTCCCCCGCTCTCCCGCCGCTCCCTCCGGCTCGGCCCCGCTGCCCCCGCGCGCCCCGGCCGCGGCCCCGCCGCTCGGCCCCGCTTCCTGCGGGCCCCGCCGGCCCCGCCTCGGCCCCCGCCCCCGGGAGCGCCGCGCCGGGCGCTGCGTGCAGCGGGGCGAGCCCCGGCAGCGGCGGGACAGCGCGGCGAGCCCCGGCAGTGGCGGGACAGCGCGGCTCCGGGCCCCGCCGGGGTTAGAGCGGAGAGCCGCGCTCCGGGCCCCGCCGGGGTTAGCGCGGAGAGCCGCGCTCCGGGCCCCGCCGGGGGTCAGTGCGGAGAGCCGCGCTCCGGGCCCCGCCGGGGTTAGAGCGGAGAGCCGCGCTCCGGGCCCCGCGCTGTCAGAGCCCACCGGCCCGCGGTGCTGGCGGTCCCGCGTCTGTCCGTCTGTCCGTCTCTGTGAAAAGCTGCTGCTGCTCGCTGGGCTCCGCACCCACCGCGTTTTACTGCGCCCTGTGCTTCTGCCTGCTTTCCGTGGTTGCCTTTTGTGTTTATCCCGTGAAAGCCAAGCAGGGTGGGTGGTGTTGGAAGGGACCTTAAAGCTCATCCATTTCCACCCCTACCATGGGCAGGGACACCTTCCACTGTCCCAGGGTGCTCCAAGTCCCATCCAACCTGGCCTTGAACCCTTCCAGGGATCCAGGGGCAGCCACAGCTTCTCTGGATAACTGTGCCAGCACCCTCACAGAGAACAATTTCTTGCTAATATCTGATTTAAATATACTCTTAGTATGTTAACGGCAGTGGGGAGCCAGGAAAGTAAAGTTGGATGTAGCCTGGTCCATGTGGCAAGTGCCCAAAGGCTGATTTGGGAGCAGAGAGTTCATCTGCTGCTTTCGAGGAGCAAGGCTGTGCTTTGCTGTAGTCAAAATAAACCAGTTCACCAGCTGCCCTACGGCCAGCAATGTCTGGATATGGAATATAAACATTGCTCTGGAGGTCCTGCAGTAATAGCAATGTAAGGTGCAATTCAAACATGGTATATTGTGAAGTTTTTATTGTTTCTGTCTTTTCAGGTTTTGCCTTTTTTTTTTTGTGTGTGTTTTTTTAATGCTTCCAAAAGCAATGCCTGGTCTAGAGAGTCTGGATTTGCTATGCAGTTGGAGTGTCCTCATAATGTGAGTTCTGGGGTGGTATCTCCTTAAAAAAAACTGGGATTAGCTACTTTGTGCTTCAGTTTGTTCATTTTAGAGACAGAAGTAATTAACCTTACAGAGATATTGTGTAGGCAGGTTAAAGCATAGGAAACTGGTTGGTCATTACAGACTGAAATAAAATAGAAGAAAAGTTGAAATACAAAAATGCAAAGTCATTGTTTTACGAGTTTTTGAGTAGAATCTTTGAGCTAGTAAAAGCATTTTAAACAAAATGCTCTGGGTAATGTATTTCAGAGGCAGGAAAAACCTCACTCTAAAGTTCATTGGTTGGATATTGCAGTTCTGGAGGGCAGAACAGAAATGCTTGAGGGAGGGTAACTTGGATTTTCTGTGCTAAGTTGCATATGGAATTTGGCTGGTCTTTGTACAGAGGTGGTTGTTAAAACAAAAATACCAGGCT